CGGAGGCGGGATGGCTCCGAAAGCCCCCGCACGCTCCGCGGCCCTGTCCGTACCTCCGGCTCCTCGCGGCGCAGGGCACAGGTGAGTGTTGGCCGGGGACCGATCCCGCGGGGCTGCGTCCCAGCAGTCTCTCTCGCAAAGGCCAAGGGTGTCACGGGGACACAGCAAGAATAGAAAACTCTTCAGACAGGTCATTGCCAGACAGGTCCTTTCATCAAGTGTCATGCGTTCCCCCAGGGAAGGACGCGGGGTTCGGTGGCAGGGAAGGCCCTTGCCCTGGCTTCAGGGGAAGATCTGCAGTTCGAACTTGGGCGCCCACTCCAGCGCGCTCTTCACCACGGCCAGGGCAGCTGCTCCCAGCGCCACCAGCAGCCCCATGACCGCCAGCTTGACAAAGCGGTTGGTCCTTGGCTTTGTCAAGATGGATTTTGTCCGCTCCTCCCCACGCGGTCGCTCCCTGAAGCGCTGTCTCAACACAGTGTCCGGTCTCTGCTGCACTGATGCCAACTCAAAGTCTTTGAAAGTGGAAGCAGCGGTTCTGCAAAAGAGGAAAGGGGTCAAGAGCAGCCTCGGAAGTGTCTCTGGGACCAAACTGCTGCAGGGCAGACAAATCTGCGCGAGGAAGCGAGCCCTGGCCTAGGCAGGGCCGGGGCACCGCGGCGCCCTGCACTCACCGTTCAGCCTGCTGCTGAGCCGCCTCCCTGGCGAGCTCAGACGGGGGAAACTGGACAAAAAGGTCCCCAGCTCTGCTGATCAGAGTCTCGTAAGGAAGGTCCTGCGGGATCTGGGACAGGAGGTGGTGGACAGAGGCCATGTCGCACTCGCAGTCCAGAACTTCCTGCTCCCGATACAGCACAATCTAAGAGAGGAGCGAGAGCACGAGGTCAGCCGGGAGGAGCAGGTCGCTCCTTGGCACTAACTCCAGAGCTGGAAAACCCTGCCCTTGCCATCTGAAAGGCCTGCCCTTCTCCAAGGAGACTCACTGCAGTGAAGTGCTCCTCTGCAAAGGGGATGCTTACACCCTTCCTGCAGCTCTGAAGCCAAGGAAGCCCCTCTGGAGAACAACCTCTCCAGAGAAGAGGCCAGGACTCAGGCTGAACCCCAGCAGGACTTGACTCCAGCTGCAGACAGCCCCGAGCAGGGCTCTGCGGTGGGGCCAGCACACGAGTGCCAGGGGGGTGTCACTGTCCCATGGCACCGGGCTCCGACAGAGCAGAACCGGCCGCTCGCCGGCGCTCTGAGCCCTCCTGCATCCTCTCTGCCCTCCTCCATCCCCAGGACATCGCTGGCCTCATGAAGGCCCCCACAGGGCAGGGGGCAGCAACAGCACTGTATTTTCCAGCCCTTTTCAATAGTCCCAAACGACGAGCCCTTTTCCTCGGTTTGATAAATTCCCCACATGATCCTGGCCGGTACCTACCACAGCGGCAAAGTAAATGGGCATCAGCGGGTGGCAGGCCAGGAAGAAGTCGTATAATCGCACGACGTGTCTGAAGTCAGAGAGGACGTGCCCGAACCACGTGATGAGCCAGCTGAGCGCGAAGATGGTTCCCACCTCCGCACTGCACAGACAGAAAGGGCTCCGTTAGGCCAACAGCTGCCAGCAGCCAGGGCCAGCACTAAAATACTCCTTGGTGATCCCCGCCCAGCACATGCTTTATCCAACAGCTTTATCCTGGAAGGAGAGACACAGCTGACAATCCATAGAGCTCCTGGGGCTTAATCCAGCACCAGGAGCCGCAGCTCTGGCACAAGGATAACAAACCCAAGACAAAGTACTGGTACTTCTCATCCGAGTGCAGACAGCTAGCGGGGAGATGCCACCCTTGAAGCCTCTCAAGACAAGGCAGCATCAAGAGCTATGGGTATTCATTGATTCTGAGGAAGCCACACAGTGCTGTGAACACGCTGCCTAGTGAAAGCAGCTGATGCAAATGAAACCATGAACGCGAGACTAAGAGCACAGAGCTAGGATGCTCCCGGGAACATCTCCATACCTCTGCATGAAGTCATGCACCTCAGGGTTCACCTGGTCTATGATGGGCATCAGGTAATTTAAAATGTGCTTGGTATTATCCATCGTTGGGTCCATAAAATCCCTGGGGAAAGATTAAACAAAAGCTCTGTCAAGTCGCCCTGTCGCTGGGCTGCACCCTCGTCCAGGGAGGCAGCCACAGGGTGAACAGACTGCAATAAACTGCTTTTCTGCCAGGATGGCCCCTATTCCCAAGGAATCCTGGTTCCCTGGGACAGCCACTGGAGGATGCAGAGGGCTCATCTCCCCAGAAGAGCTGGGCTTGCTCAGCGGTACCTGGCACTGCTGCTCGTTTTGCTGCGCTGCGTTCACACAGCCTGGCACCTCTGCAGCACCCGCAGTTGACCCTGCTGCCAGGGAGAGGAGGCAGGAGCCCTCCAAAGCGCCCCGTGGCCAAGGGCAAGTTCTGCTTCGGGATTTCAGGATTCACTCACCCTGGTGCTCACAGCACTGGCCTTACAGAGCACAACTGCCCAGTTGTGCCCCAGGGGCTACAGGGAGCAGCGGGCAGCACTGGGCTGAGCCAGAGCGGCGCTGACAGAAGAGGCGACCAGAAAATTGTTAGCAATACACTTGGGTTGGCTTTTCCAGCCTCAGGAGATGCTGCAAATTAACCTGGCATTTGACGAACGAGTCCTCAATTATCCCTTCCCTGGAGCACAACTCCCTGCAAAGCCCCGGGCACCCTGTGGCCACGGTGCTCCCGGGCACATCCCTGTGGGCGCAGGCGGCCTCGGGACGGGGCGGCTCCGCAGCACGAGGCCGAGCCGGGTACCTGAGATGATGCGTCGAGAGCTTCTCCACCAGCGCCGTGGCCAGCCTGTCGCCAACCACCAGGAGGAAGGTGACCACGATGTCATGGTAGCCCTGGTAGTAGTGCAGCTGGGGGTTACGCTTGAGGACGTGCAGGATAATGTCGATGAGCTCCTCCTGCAGCCCTTCTCGCTGGTCATCTGGCATCCCTGTGGGGACAGAACCACGTGGCAGCGGTGGGACAAGCCCTGGCCAGGTGCCTACTGTAGCAGTGATGGTGGCTACGGTGTCTGCGGCGAGGGCTGTGAGGCAGAGGCAGCTACAGCCTGATCACAAGGGACGTGGTGCAAGGAGCTGCATAGAAAACTAGCGGAGAGAAATTCAGAGGCCTAATCCTGCCCCTGAAAACTCTGCTGGCCCAGGGGGAGCTGGCGAGTGCCCAGGTTGCTCAGGCTGAGCTGCAGTGCCCCTGCATATACAGGAGGTGCTGGTGCTGCGCTGCGAGGAGCGAGTCGCACTGCGCGCCCAGCGCTGCCGAGGACACTTCAATCACTTCTTATTTCCCAGGAGCTCTGGAAAAAATTAAACAGGACCTATTTTCACAGAAACTGTGCCAGCTGCATGGAATTGTGAGGCCCCTGTTCGCCACACCTTTGTATCAGTCCTCTGTTAACAACATGCATTTAGGGACAGGATATTGCAGGAAAAAAATATGATTCTGCACAACTGCAGCTGTTTTTTTGGCAGAGTCCTTGTCAACAGATAATAATGTATAAAGGCCGAGTGGAGAAATTCCCAGCTGAGACCCTGCAATGGCAAAGTTCTCCTTTTTCCCTTCTTCGCCAACGCTTCTAAAAATAGGCAGTAGGCTGCGATTCAAGGGCAGAAAGGAAGCGTGAGCAGACCCTTCACAAATCAGACTTGTGCATAGTATCCTTACTTGAAAGTGAATCAGAATGGATCAACTGTTTATGCGAAATAAAAGAAACCAAAAGGGGAAGGAGACTCTAGCCAGAAATAATGACTGCTCTGCAGAGTTAGGTAACTGCGAGCCTAAATGTTTTATAAATAGCACAACAAGGCACCAGCCACCCACAACAACTAAACAAACACAAAAAGCTTTTGTTTCTGGGTATTAGAGTTCTTTGAAATTTGGTGCATGAATCATTGAGAGAAAAAGTGATTTGGAGATAATTTAGAGTCAGAATCTGTTCTAACCATTAAGGAACCTGCCTTGCACACCCTCGGGCTGGACTGCAGCCTTTACAAAAACTGAAGCAAAGGGTAAATTCCTCAAACACTCAGTCTCAGCTTCGCGCTCAGCTTGGCCCTCGGGACCACGGGCCCAGCGGTACCAGCCTCCTGCAGAGGGACTTGGCAGCCACAGGGGAAAGGGAACGTCAGGAAAACCACATCCAAAAGCAGCCACACAGAGCTGAAGGAATCGAGAGCTTCACAAGAGCTTCACTTCACAGGAATATTGCTGCCAACGGGCATGAAAAGGAGACAGCCTCCTGCAGCACGGCAGCATCACACGTGCTGATGCATCACGGTGCCCAGGGGAGGGAAATCTGGAGGGCTGGGCCAGGAGCGCCCCATTTGCACAGATCCCCCCGCACGCAGACGGGATCCCCTCACCTGGCGGGAAGCGGCGCAGGGATCGCCGCACATCCAGTAACACCTGCTGGTAATCTTTGTTGTTCTCTCGCAGCTCCTTTCCTGGTGAAACAAGAGGAAGATCATTAACCTCACACAGTGCAAAGGTACCAGACAGTGAGCTGGGTGAGCGAGCCAGGGAGGCCCTGCTCAAACCAAAAAATGAGGCTGAAATCCACCCCCATGGCCCAAGCACACTACTCCAATCAAATACCCCATTTTTCCCCATGCTCTCATTTTACTGTTGTGCTTTCCAACACTAATGACAATTTGGCATGATAAAAAAATACTATTATTTCTTTAAACAACGTATTTTTAAATGCTTACACTGACACCACTCCCTGTATTCCTGGAAATATCCTTTTTCTGGGAAATTCAGAACATAATCAACAGCAGCAGGGCACAATATGCAGTACAAGGAATAGTTTATTACATAGAAATAATTCAGTAATAAACCCCAAAAGGGGGTAGCTAGGACGGTTATAACAGGAGAGAGAAGAATTTGCTGGCACGCTGGCCTCCCTGTGCTGCAGTGAAACTGAATGCGGCTTCCAGCAGCTCAGAGCAGCTAACGGAGTTCAGCTCCTGGGGATCCGCGCTTCCCAATGGCCACTTGGATCCGGGAACACCAACAGAACCTTTTGCTGGGGGAACAGTGACTGTAAAAGCTGCAGGATTTGGATCTCCTTTAGAAACCATGTACATATCTCATCAGGAAGGTAATTTTTGCCACTCCTGATGAAACACTCCACTAAATTCCTGCAACAAACCGCTTCATCCATGCCTGGAAGTGACACCTCCAGGAGCCAGGCTCCAGCAAAGCCACCTCACCACAGACACAACAAAAATAATTTGCTACTTTTTGTTACCTATTAATTTACACATGACAAATACTTGCACAAGGGTCACACCAACCACATGCAAGGCAAACATTGCCACCTGAGTCACTAATCCTACAGCATAATGGAAACGTTGTTTTTAGGAAGTTGTGTATTTCCTAATCTGTTCTTCGCATCACAAAATGCACAGAGCTTGGGGAGTTATTACGGCACACGTTCTCAAGGGTCCTTTCCACATAAGCGTGGTGGGGAAAGCACAGCGCACAGAGGGAAAAGGAAGGTCAAAAAGTGCAGTTCAGTGCTGGGATCCCTCCTCAGGACAGCAAGCGACCACAGAGCTGCTCTTCCAAGCCTGCTGTGTACCTGGCAGGGGAGGCAGGTCGTCCGTGTCGACACTCAGCAGCTTTGGCCACACTTTGCAGCGGATCTCGTCCGTGAGGAGCCCCCCTTCGCTGATGGCCATGCGCCGCAGCGCCGCCACGTCGATGGGGTCGCTGCTCAGCGCCTGCTCGATCTCCGCCACTTTTCTTTTCTTCTTGGAGTCAAAGTCTGCGGGAAAACCACAGAGGAACAAGTTAAAGGTGATGTCGGCACCCGCCGGAGCCAGCAGAGCCCCTGGCAGCTCTCTGGTCTCTGGGAAAGGCCAGCGCAGGTGACAACCGCTTCCTTGGAGCAGCGTTTCGTGCTCCTACCGACTCCTGGAGCGCCCAGAACAGCCGTCCTGTGTCCTACACAGCGCTCTGAAACCTACCCCGACCGCAACAGTCGTGAGGAAGGCTGTGTTTGCATCAGTCACGCTCATCACAACACAGCTACTTCTCTCCCAGCAAGCACAAGCCTGCCAGCTGGTTTATATATGCATTAAGCAAGCCCCAGCGCTGCTCTGCAGAGCATGTGCACCGTCGGGCTCGCAGGGAAGAGAACGATGTATATGAAGCACCCGGTACACCGGGTTTGTGCGAGTTAAACACAGGGCACAGGGGCATTTCCTGCAGAACAGGAACGGACGCGGTATTCCCGCTGCGTGCCAAACGGCATTCATTTGATAAGGAACTTGTCTGAATAGGATTAGGGGCGGGAGGATTAAAACAAGCCCAATGGTGAAACAACCACTTCTCAGCCATTTACCCCATGTTGTTCCCCGTCCACATGATTTTTATGGCATTTCCGCCCATCCTGGCCCGTTTCCCTACTCCTGTCAAGCTCTTTGCAAGCGCTGGGCTGAGAGTTTTAGCTTTGAAAGCACCTGAATGGGTGGAAAGGGCAGAGAGGCTGCCCACAGACACACAAAACCCAAGTAGGTCAAGTGCTAGATGCTGTCCCTTTTCAAAATAGCCTTTTCTGGGCTTTTCATATGAAAACGAGCTGCAGCAGTTTGTGAAAGATCTCCAAGTCCCCTCTGAACACCCAAACCCCATAGCATTAAGCCTTTTAAAATTCAACGGGTGACTGCAGCTTCCTTACGTCTCCCGTCCTCTCTCTTGTGCAAGCAAAGCCACTTGTGCACGAACCAGCTCCGCTCGCCCTTCCCTGCATCTGCGCAGGCTCTGCCCACACACCCCAAAACCTGGCGCAGGAGCAACCAGCGCCTGGGAAGGAAGGGTCCTATCCACACACGGAGAAACGGAGGGCAGGAGCCGCTATGGGGGCTCCTCTTCTCGGCTCTGCTGACAAGGAAGCGGCCCTTACGCTGCTCAGAGCTACAGCGGGCAAAAGCAGCAAGTGTTAAAAGCGGGCAAGTTTCAAAAACTTTTCCGCATGTTCTGAGAGCGACGAGGAGCTGCCGCGGCGCTCT